CCTTACAGTGTTTTGGTTTTACATCTAAGAACTCTTTTCCTAACATAAGTTCATGAAGATTTTCTCCTATGAATTTTATAGTTTTTTAAAATTTTATATTTGAATCTACAATTCACTTAGAATTTGTTTTTATATAAGATATATATTGCAGTTCCATATTCTTGCATACAATGTCCAATTGTCCCAGCACTATGTATTGAAACACTATTCTCTCTCCAATCTAAATTGGTTCTGTACCTTTGTTAAAAATCAGCTGACCGTATTTACCAGGTCTGTTTTTAGAATCTATATTTTATTCGTTTCATCTATGTGTCTATTATTTCGCTACTACCTCACTGTACTGATTACTGTAGTCTTAAAATATGGTAGCATAAATTCACTAACGCTAACTTTGTTCTTTTTCAAACTTGTTTTGGTTATTCTAGTCTCTTTGCCTTTCCATTACAAAATTTAAAATCAGCTATCTATGTAAACAAACAATTTTACTGGGATCTTTATTGGAAATGCATTAAATTGAGAAATCTACTTCAAGTGAACTGACTTCCTAAATATATTGAGACTTTGAACACACAGAAATGATATTTCTTTCCATTTATTTAAGGCCTTTGATTCCTCTCAACCTTTTGCAGTTCTCACCACAGATAGTCCACATGTTTTGTTGTACTTAAACCTGTGTACTTCAACTCCCTGGAGCTATTGTCAGTAGTACTGATTTTTAAATTTTAGCTTCCATTTGTTCACTGCTAGTACAACTGACCCTTGAACAACGCGAGGGTTAATGGCATAAACCCCCTGCACAGTCGAAAATCTGAATAACTTTGCAGTCTGCACTCCCCATCAGCAGTTTCGCATCCATTGATTCAGCCAACCGCAGATTGTGTAGCATTGTACAGATGGAAAAAAATGCGAGGATAAGTGGACCGAAACAGTTCAAACCAGTGTTGTTCAAGGGTCAACTATACACAGAATACAACTGACATGGATGTTAACTTTGCATCCTGTGACCTTGCTCACTCATTAGTTCTAAGGTATTTTTGTAAATTCTTTGGGATTTTCTACACAGACAATCATGTTGTCTGAAAACAGGGATAGTTTTGTTTCCTCTGATAGATATGTCTTTTCTTTCTTTTGGGCTTTTCTGTATGATTTAAATAGGAGTGATGAGAGTAGATATTCTTGCTGTTTCCAATCTTACAGGAAAGTATTAAGTGTTTTACTATTAAGCTATCATCTATAGAACCTACTGTCCTATAGCTGTAGGATATAGCACAGGGAACTATACTCAATTTCTTGTAATAACATATAATGAAAAAGAATCTGGAAAGAAAAATATATATGTATGTGTACGCATAACTGAATCGCTTTCCTGTACATCTGAAACCACATTATAAATCAACTACACTTCAATAAAAATTTTTTAAAAAGATATCATCTATAGGATTTTGGGGGAGGATACCCTTTATCAGGTTAATAAAGTACTCTTCTAACTGGCTGAGAGTTGTTATCATAGGAGAATGCTGAATTTTGTCAAATGCTTTTTTTGCATCTATTGATATGATCTTACAGGTTTTTTTTGTATGCTAATATGGTAGATTACAGTGACTTTTTTCTGAATGTTGAGCCAGCCTTCTATTCACAGGATAAACCTCTCTCCTCTCCTTATTAGCCTTTAATATCGCTGAGGTCTCTAGTGACATACCCCTACTCACTCCTGACACAGGTAATTTGTGTTTCCTCTCTTTTTTTTCTAACTTGGTCAGACTGGCTAGAAGTTTATACATAATATTGATCTTTTCAGAGAACCAGCTTTGGATTTCACTGATTTCTCTAACATTCTCTTCTCGAATTCCAACTCCTTTCAACTATGCTTTTTATTATTTCCATCTTTGTTTCTTTTTTTTTTTTTTGCTCTTCTTTTCCTAGTTTCTTAATGTGGAAGTTTAGATTATTGATTTTTCTCTATTTTCTTCTAACATATGCATTTAATGCTATAAAGCTCTAAGAACTCTAGCTACATTCTACAAGCTCAGATGTTTTGTGTTTTCATTTTCATTCAAAGTATTTTCAGTTTCCCCGGAGACTTACTCATTGGTCGATGGTTCTAGTTTAATTCCACTATGGTCAGAGAACATACTACAGCTGACCCTTGAACATGGGTCTGAACTGTGCAGGTCCACTTATAGGCAGATCTTTTTCAATAAATACATAGTGCTAAATGATCCGCGGTTAGTTAACTGCAGACATGCAGGGCTGACCAAGGGACCTGAGCATCAGCAGATCTTCCAACAGTGGGTCCTGGAACTAACTGTCCATGGATACCAAGAGACAACTGTTATATGACTTCAACTCTTTTAAATTTGGTAAGACTGATTTTATGATCTAGGGTATGGTGTATCTTGGTGAATATTTCAGGTGTCCTGGAGAAGAATGAGCATTCTGATGTTGGGTGGAATATTCTATAAATGTGTCAGGCTAAGCTGGTTGACTGTTGTTCAGGGAAGCTCTTTGCTGATTTTTTAATCTATTTATTCTATCAATTGCAGAAGAAGAGTAATGTTGATATCTTCAGTTGTAATTTTGGACCAATTTCTTTCTCCTTTCAGACTTTTTCACTTTTGCTTCACATATTCTGAAATTATTCTGTTAGGTAGATACGCACTTAGGGCTGTTACGTCTTCTTGGTGAATAGAGCCTTTTATTATAACATAATTTTCCTCTTCAGCCCTGGGGATTTTTCTTTGTTCTAAAGTCTACTTTTTCTGATATTTAAATAGCCACTCTTGCTTTCTTTTGATTATTGTTTGTCTGCCTGGTACATTTTTTTCCATCCTTTTATATTTAACCTGTCTAAATCTTCATATTTACCATGGACTTCCTGAAGAGAGTATATACCTGAGTCTTGTTTTGTCAGTCTCACAATTGCAATGTTTTATTTGGTGTGTTTAGAACACTTACATCTAAATTAATATTTGATATGCCTGCATTTAAGTACACATCCCTTTGTTACTGGTTTTCTCTTTGTCTCCTATATTTTTCATTCCTGTTTCCCCTTTCCAGCCTTCATTCAAATATATGAATATTTTCAGAATTCTTTTTTAATTTATCTACTGGCTTTTTACTGAATCTGTACAGTTTTTTTAGTGGTTGCTCTAGGGATTCTAGTGTATCTATAGTAGTACCCCCATCTGCAGTTTCACTCTCCAGTTTCAGTTACTCACAGTCAACTGTGGTCTGAAAATATTACATAAAAAATTCCGTAAAGAAATAATTTATAAGTTTTAAATTGCACGCCATTCCGAGTAACATGACGAGACCATGGGGACAACTCTTTCCTGACCAGGATGTGACTCATCTCTTTGCCCATCATATCCACACTGCCCATTAGTCACTTAGGAGCCATCTCAGTTATCAGACTGACTGTCATGGTATGGTAATGCATGTATGCAAGTAACCCTTATTTTACTAAATAATGACCCCGAAGTATAAGAGTAGTGATGCTGGCAATTTGGATATTCTCTTACTGTGCCTAATTTATAAATTAAACTTCATTATAAATATGAAAATATAGGAAAAAACATAGTATATGCAGAGCTTGGTACTATCCAGGGTTTTAGGCATCCACTTGAGGTCTTGGAACATATAACCTGTGGATAAGGGAAAACCAGTGTTTTTAACTTTCCATAGTTTACTCAGAATTAAGATTTTTCCTCTTGAAGTGAAATGGAGACACTTCACAAGATTATAGGTCCCTTTACCGGTCCTAGTTTATACTGTAGTTGTCCAATGTATTACACCAACATACACTGAAAATCTCAGTAAACAACACAAATTTTTCTTTCAGCTGTCACAGATGTTATAAAAATCTCAAGAGAAGAAATACAGCTCATGGTATTTAATCAAATATTTACTGTTGTTGTTGCCCTCCCTTCATCCCTGAAGCTTGAATTTTCCCTCTGGTATGATTTCTCTTTTGCCTGAAGAACTTTATCCTTCATTTTAGAACAAGACTGCTGGTGACAAGTTCTCTAAATTGTCCTCCATGTAAAAATATCTTTATATATCCTAAAGAATATTATTGCTGGACATAAAATTCTAGGCTGACAATTTTTCTCTCTCAGGACTGAAAAAAAAAAAACCTTCAGTCTTCTAACCTTCATAGTTTTTTATTTTTTGATGAGAAGTCTGCAGTAATTTTAATCTTTGCTGCTCTAGGCAATGTGTTATTTATCTCAGACTGCTTTCAAGATTTTCAGCAACTATTTTGATTTGTCCAAAAGTGGTTTTCTCTGATTTTATCATCTTTGAGCTTGTCGAATTTATAAATCTATTTCCTTCACAAATTTGCCAAGTTCTCAGTCATTATTCCTTCAAATAGTTTTTGCACCAGTTTCATTATCCCCTTCTCTGGTACTCTGATGACATAAATGTTAGACCTTCTGATACTGTCCAGCCGGTCCCTGAGAATCTGTTCATTTTTTCCCAAATCTTTTTCTGTTTACACTGAATACTTTCTATTGCACCATATTTCAAGCTCATATTTTTGTATGTGTGTGAGAGCTATATTCTGCTATTAAATCCATCCAAATTATCTATTTTTTATTTATTCTTGTGTTTTTGGTCTCACAATTTCTACTTTACTTTTGTTTTTATTTTTACTCTTAGCTTTTAGCCCAAGATTAAGAGGGCTTCTACTCTCAACTGATCTTCAAGCAAATGGTATCTCTAGTGGAAAAGAATCTACAGAATCACTCTTAGTTTGATAATGTCAAAAAATAATGATCAGGACCAAAATGGCAGGAGTACCATATGAGAAAGCATTGTAAAATGATCCAGACGTAATGGGATTCTAATTATAGTACTTGCTAGTAACTTTTCTAAGTTTTTCTTTCCTCATCTATTAAAATAAAGCAAGCTGGGCTAATAGTGCTAGAAGTTCTTTTCAGCATTCACATCCTGAATATACATTACATCTACTTGTAAAAACATAATTAATATCTTACTTTTTCAATCTGCTTTTCCATCTCTTTATGCTGGTCAAGATGAATTTTTTTTGCCTTTTCAAAAGCTAAACAAATTTTTTCATGTTCTGTATTGATATTGGTTTCTAGACTTCTAATCTTTTCATTTTTTTCCTAGAAATACAAAAGCACTTTAAAAGAATAGAATTAAAATAGTTTTACATAAAAGTACATTAGCAAAGCATACTTTATCATACCCTGCTCTTTAAAGAATAATAGTAGTTAACATGTCAAATTTCAAAAATATTTAAATATTTATAAAAAGACAAAGTGGTTATTTCACAAATTGTATCAAAATGATATGAGTAAGATATTTAAAAATACTGTGAAGCAGATCAAAAAACTACTATCATCTCCTTCAATTCTACTAAAATAAAAATAAGAAACTTTAGATAATAAATTGCCATACTAACTTAAAAAATATAGGAATAAAAACTGAACAATCAAGAGTTTGAATTTATATTTTCCTATTTAGCATATTTTAGAATAATGATACTAAAACAACATGCTGTTACAAGCATATTTAAGTTCCTTAAAGCCACGGTGAATTTGTAGAAAAAAAAAAGAGAATAATTTTTACCATAAGTTCCTGTTCTAGTTCTGCATTTTTTGCAGCAATAGAGGAATAAGCAACAATTTTTTCTTCCAGCTGTTTCTCTAGAGTTAAAAGCTGAGAACATTTCTTTGTCATCTGAAAACACATTGAAATGAATAAAAAATTATTTTTAAAAAATAAATGACAGATAATTCAGAAGAAAAAATAGTTAAGGGAAGACTAGAAATATGACATAGCTTATTCCATCTGTGTAATACATACCTAACTTAATTCAGACCCTTGTGTTCAAACAGAATTGCACCCCAACTCATTTCTTAAAAGTAGCTGTTAAAGATTGAAATCAGTATAATGAAATGTTAACCATAATAATTTCTGGTCATAGAATTACCAGTTTTATTATCTTCTTTGTCCCTTTCTGTATTTTCAACAAGACTGTGTTAATTTTTTAATTAAAAAACAGTTATTAACCTCAGTGCTTGGCAATTTTCTAAGTAAGCTGATGGCTATAGTTACAGACTGCCTAAATCTCCTTTTCCATTACTTACATAAGTTCCTATCCCACAGGTCTTTTCCCAGTCTTGGCTACAGGCTTTAAGATGAGAAATCAAGCATATAAAAAGTGCCCCTACAGACAGCTGCAGCCTCTGGTTTGAAGGCTGAGTACAGCATATACACATGTGGTCCTGGTTGGTCCACAACTACCAAAGAAGGCATCCTTGTTCTCTTTTCAGTGGAAATGAAGATCAGGTAGTCACAAAGCATACATTATCCTCTTTTCAGGAGGTAACGAATAATATATCTGCATCAGATTCACATGTAGATGTTTAAAAATGCACACTCTTTAGCATTATTCCATATCTACTGAATCAGAATCACTAGAATAGGACCCAAAACCTGCATGTTTAACAGGCTGTCCAGGTGTTTCTACAGTTGGCTAAAATTTCAAATCCTCTATTATTACTCCTTTTTTACAGTAATCCAACTTTTTTACTTGTAAATATGTATTAGCCATATTAACTTACTCTTGGAAGAAGTAATAGATTGCAGTATAGTTTAAGTTCCACCAAATTTAGCCACTAGAGTATTTTCCTACTTTTAACATGTTAAAAACCCAAAATTTCCAAGGACAATTTTTTAAAAAGTCGTAACTTATGTTGGCACCATTAATTTTTTTTAACGTATAAATCTGGACCTTAACATACAATTTTTACAAAACCCCGCAACAATACTTTTTTTCTGTCTCAAAATTTAGTATGTATCAACAGCTAATTCAAGCTTACTTCACTTTCAAGTCTGCTAGAGTTTGAAGCCTTCTCTAGCAGCTCCTCTTGAATCAGCTGAAACTGACTAGTTCTGTGGGCCATGTTAACCTTCAAATCAGAATTTTCAGCTTCTATTTGCATCAACTTATCACGTAATTCTTCTATTCCAGAAGCAAGTCTTTGCCTTTCTCTTTCATATTGCTTGTTCACAGTATGTTGATTTTTATCTTTTATACTTTCTGTTAATAAACATAAAAGGAAAATTGTTCTGTATAAAAGTTAAAAAATAAATACTTATTTCAGTGTTGAAAGATTTAATCATAAAAAGTTCAGTTTCTGATCTAAAGAATACTAAAAGGGATGGAGAATGAAACATACACTAAGAAAAATATTAAAAAGGACACAGTAAGCAAAGTACTTTCTATTATTAAATACATAACAAAACAGGAATAAGTTCCTCTGAATCATTCACTTTTCTAGACTATTCCTTCGTACAAGAAGAACTATTCCTTCGTACTACAAAGAGCCCTTCTCCACCTTTAAAAATCCCATTGTCTGGATACAAAACATTGTTTTAAAAAAAAACAAACCCAAACACCCAAACATTGTCCTATTTTTTTAAACTGAAATACATCATTAATTTATTTGGATAACCTGAGATCATTAATATTTCAATATATTATATACAGATGTAGGTTCAATAGCCAAAAACAGTGAAGGCTTAACCCAAACTAGCTGATGACAATTCAGTGATGCTTTTTCAAACTACTGAGGGTTATCAGAGGTAGTTGCATGAATGCAGGTTTTCTCCACTATAAATGTACCTACCTATGCCCACCCAAAGGCAAAAAAGCTTTCGGGAATGCTTTAAAGTAGACGCATAATGTAGATGGTGGTATGAGCACACACAGAGGTGGAAACGTGCAGAGATGTACTACGCCTTCAAGGGCTGCATCAGTACTATTTTCCATCAGTTCTCCATACCCCCTGACATTTCACTTTCTAAGCAAACTATCATTGGCTCTGTTCCTCTCTGATATTAGAGAATCTATGACATACACTCTCAGCACCTCCAATAACTCGAATTCCCTCTGCTGATCCCATCGTTCTCTTCCCTCTAATCATTTAGATTATCTGGATATCTAACTTTCTCTGCTGCCAGTTCTGCTACCGGCAGCCCATTGTGTCTTTTTATCATTTATTTAGTTGTGAGTTTTTACAATTTAATCTTCCTTTGGAGGCACTGGGGATTGAACCCAGGACCTTGTGCATGCCACGCATGGGCTCAAGCACTGAGCTATAACCACCCCACCCCTTCCACTGTATTTGAAGACAGAGCATGATAGGTTAAAAATGCATATGTTAACATTAGGGCAACCACTAAAAAAATGAAGATGTACAATTCACTGCTCTATAGAGGACATTAAAAAATGGAATGCTAAAATATAACTGATCTAAAAGAAGGCAAGAAAAATGAACAAATGCTAACAGAATAAATAGCAAACAAATGCCAAGATGGTAGATTTAAACCCAAAAAGATCAATAGATACACTAAATGTAAATAATCTAAACATTCCAATTAAAGAGCAAAAAATGTCTGACTGGTTATAAAAGCAAGAACTAATTATATGCTTTCTATCAGAAACTCACTTACATATAAAGATACACATTAAAGGTTGGAAAAAGTCTTATTAGGTAAACACTAATCAAAAATAGCAGGAGTGATGAACTATCAGATCTATGACAGTTAAAAGAAAAAATAACATTGTCAATGTATGTTGGTGTAATACACTGGACAATTATAATATAAAATAGGAATGGTAAAGGGAAATTTAACCTTGTAAAGTTCCTACATTTCACCTCAAGTGGAAAAATGTGCATTCTAATTACAAACTATCAGAAAGAGAAATTTAGAAAACAATCCCATTCACAATTGAGTCAAGAAAAATTCCTTAGAAATAAATATAACCAAGGCAATATACTGAAAACTATAAAACACCAATGAAAGAAACTGAAGACACAAATAAATGGAAAGATATTTCAAGTTCATGGATTAGAATAATTAACATTATGAAATGTCCATAATACCCAAAGTGACCTACTAATTCAATTCAACCTCTATCAAAATTCCAATGGCATTTCTCACAGAAATTGAACAAACGATCCTAAAATTTATATGGAACCACAAAAGACAAACAAGAATAAACCTGGAGTATCATGCTGCCTTATTTCAAACTATATTACAAAGCTATAGTCATCAAAAAAGTATGGTACTGGCATAAAAACAGACACAGACCAATGGAACAAACTAGAAAGACCACAAATAAACCCATGCATATGTGGTCAATTGATTAACAACAAAGGAGTGAAGAATATTCCCTGGGGAAAGAATAGTCTCTTCAATAAATGGTGTTGGGAAAACTGGACAGCAACATACAAAAGAACTAAACTAGACACAACACTGTAAAATGACTATAACTCAATAAAAAATGTAAAATAAAATAATGAAACTAGACCATTATCTTACACCATACACAAAAATTAATTTAAAATGGATTGATGATGTGAACATAAGACTAGAAACCATGAAACTCCTAGAAGAAAAGACAGCCTGTAAGCTCCAAGACGTCAGTCTTGGCAGTGAATTTTTTTGGATTTCACACCAAAAGTGAAGGTAACAAAAGCAAAGACAAACAAGTGGGCCTATATCAAACTGAAAAGCTTCTGTACAGCAAAAGAGACCACAAACAAAATGAAAAGTCAATCTATGCAATGGGAGAAAATACTTGTAAATCATATATCTGGGGTTATATTCAAAATATATGTAAAAACTCATATAACTCAACAGCAAAAAAAAAAAAAAGGCAGAAGATATGAATAGATACTTTTCCAGACAACACACACCAGTGGCCAGCAGGTATGTGAAAAGGTGCTTAACATCACAAATCATCAGGGAAATCCAAGTCAAAACCACAGTGAGATACTAACTCACACCTGTCAGAATGGCTATTATCAAAAGGACAACAAATAACAACTGTTGGTTGAGAAAAGGGAACCCTTACACACCACTGGTAGGAATGTAAATTGGTGCAGCTACTATAAAGCCACCACGGGTTCCTCAAGAAATTAAAATACAACTATCATATGATTCAACAATTCCACTTCTGGATATTTATTCAAAGGAAACAAAATCACTATCTTGAAAACACATCTGCATTCCTATGTTCACTGCAGCATTATTTACAATAGCCAAGACATGGAAACACCCTAGTGTCCACTGACGGATGAATGGATGAAGAAAATGTATAAAATGTATACTATACTGCCAAAAAAAAGGACATCCTAGACCTTGAGGACATAGGCTAATTGCAATGATTCAGACAGACAAAGGCAAACACTGTAATATTTCACTTATATGCTAAATGTAAAAAAACAAAACAAAACAAAACACCAAACTCATAGATACAGAGAACAGATTGATGGTTGCTAGAGGTAGGGCTGGGGGTGGGTGAAATGGGTGAAAGTGGTCAAAAGGTATAAGCATTCCTTTATAAGATAAATAAGCTCCAGGGATACAGTACACAGCATGGTGACTGTAATTAATAATAGTGTATGGTGTATTTGAAAATTGCTGAAAGAGTAGATCTTAAAAATTCTCACTAAAATTTTTTAAAATGTTTAACTATGTATAGTGATGGCTGTTAATTAAACTTACTTTGGTATTCATTTCGAAGTATTAACATATATCAAATCATTATGTTGAACAACTAAAACTACTACAATGTTGTATGTCAATTAACCTCAATTGAAAAAATAGCTGAGGTGGCTATATTAAGTTCAGACAAAGCAGACATCAGACTGACAGAATTGAAAGGATAAATTTAAAAACCCACATATATATCTGCAGATTTCAACACTAATTTCTCAGTAATTGATTAGAACAAGTTCAAAGAAAACCATTAGGAATAAAAAGTGTAAACAACACCATTAGCAAATTTAACATGATTAGTATTCAAAAAACACTCTATCCTGTTAGAATATGTTCAAACTTAGGAGATTATCAACTCAAAGTAATCATTCATATATATATATACATAAAATACATTACATATAAATCTCATGGTGAACTCAAATCAAAATTCTACATAGACACAAAAAGAGAAAGAAATCCAATCATAACACTAAAGACAGTCACCAAATCACATGGGAAGGGAGCAACAGAAACAAAAAAGAACTACAAAAACAGAAAAATAATTAACAAAACAACAGTAAGTACATACATGTCAATTATTACTTTAAATGTAAATGGGGGGGAAATGGAAAAATATACTAAATGATCCAATCAAAAGACATAAAGTGGCTGAATGGATTAAAAAAAAACAGGCCCATATATATTCTGCCTATAAGTGATTCAGATCTAAACACACAGACAGACTGAAAGTGAGGGGATGGAGAAAGATATACATAAATGCAAATAAAAACAAAAAGAAAGCTGGGGTAGTAATACTTACATCAGATGAAATACACCTTAAAACAAAGATTGTAAAAAGAAACAAAGAACATTACATAATAATCAAGGGATCAATTCAATAAGAGGATATAACAATTATAAATATATTTTCACCCAACATAGCAGCACCTAGTTACACAAAACAAATATTAAACAAAGGGAGACACTGACAGCAACACAATAATAGTAGGGAGTTTTAATACCCCACTGACATCAATAGACAGATCATCTAGACATAAAATCAGTAAGAAAACACTGGCCTTAAATGACGATTGGACTAGATGGACTTAAAAGACATATATAGAACATTCCATCCAAAAGCAGTAGAATACACATTCTTTTCAAGTCCACATGGGACATTCTCCAGAACAGATAACATGCTAGGCCTCAAGGTAAGTCCCAATAAATTTAAGAAGATTAAAATCGTATCAAGCATCTTTTCTGGTCATAACACAGTAAGACAAGAAATCAACTACAAGGCAAAAAAACACAAAAAATTAACACATGAAGCTAAACGATATGCTACTAAACAACAAATGGATCACTGAAGAAATCAAAGAGAAAATTAAAAAATACCTGTTGACAAATGAAAATGGAAACAAAATGTCCAAAATCTATGAGACGCAGCAAAAGCAGGTCTAAGAGAGTTTATAGCAATTCAAGCCTACCTCCTAAAACAAAAATCTCTAATAAACAACCTAACCTTACACCTAAAGGAACCAGAAAAAG